TTGCTGCTCTTCCTTTTAAATCATTATCACTTCTCATGCGGGGGGAGAACTTCCCTTTGCAGCTGAGTGCCTCTTCCTGTAGTGCTGGCTCAGGTTGTGAACCTGCACACAGACACCATGTATCCATTTCAGAGACAAGGCAGTCTGCTGCAAAACAAAACTAAAAAATTTTTTTTTTAGTATTCTGACAGCTGCTGCCATCAGAATAAAAAATACATTAAAAAAAACAGCATAGAAATGAATAGCTAGATTGCTATTGGCTATTTCAATTTGCAATAGCCAATAGCAAGCTAACTATTGCACCCGCCCTCTGCTGCTGTCAGTCAGCAGAGAGAGGACCTGATGGAGAATTTCACTTTCACTTCTGTGCAATTAACCATTCACATGAATAAGCTACCTACCACAGCGCACCCTATAGCACCTATGTGATGCAACGTGTGAACAAGGGCTTAAAGGGTTTCTAAAGCCTCCGTTTTTTTTGCACGTATCTACTGCTAGCAAGCAGTAGATATATATGCAAAAAGTTTTTAAAAAAACAAACGCTTTAAAAGCGGTTTAAACTTACCCGTGTCTTCATCGCACACTCCCGTCCAAAAATCTGAAAATTCTCTGCGGGCGCATGCGCAGTTTGGATTTTCGGCCGGGAGACGAGGAGAGACACAAGGTAAGTCTATGGACAGCGTGCACCCGCATGCAGACATCGTGGGACAGAAAGTGCAAGCCAGCACAGAGGAGTCAGCGCTGGATCGGAGACCCGCAGCAGCGCTGGAGGGTCAGCTGAAAACATCAGGAAAGAAGAAGAAGATCGGATTAAGAGACATCATTTAAGGTAAGTGCTTACACTAACATTGGGGGAGGGAAAAAAATGTTTGCCTTTAATGTCACTTTAATGTCTATAAAAACATGAAATTGTTTTTTGCACATAATGTATTAATGGAGAATAACTAGGTATGCGGCGGGGATTGTGTCATATCTATGAAAACGGTGGTCCTTGAACACATCCAGAAGTTGGGGGTGTAATGTATACACAGCCTAGAAATCTGCCTTTACACTGCCGAGTCCCAGCGCAGATCCACTGTATGATAAGTGAGAGAAGCGTGCCTTTATCTCTTCATAATGAGACACTCTGCTGACAGTCCTACAATGTGATTGGAGTGAAGTAAATCACTTAAGCCTACAAGCGCAAGGAAACATGTCATACATCTCATGCTTGATTGCCAGGTTATGTAACACAGGACAATGCAACAATTTATTCCAGCATTGCTTAATCCTTTTCCAGCACCAGAATCGAGGGGCCAGATTATCAACCTAATTGGAGCGAGTTTAGCTAATATGATGGGCCTATTCAGGAGACAGATCAAATCAACACAAACTGCGCTGGCGATCATTATGCTCGTCACAGTGACCCCGTATCAGGACACAAATTAAGATGACTGCTCATTGTTCCAGTCAGAAGGACCTATTTAACCAGTCACAATCATCTGCCCTCCCTGTCACTATGCTGCAAATTCATTGCGTATTGATTGCAGGAAGATTTTCTGCATAGGAAAGGCATTTATAAAAGTTGCCGCGTGGAAAGATAAAATTATTGGAACCCTAAAATGTTCAAGTCAAATTCCAGGCAGGAGGCTAAATACATAGTTGAATTATGTCTGTGAAGGTTCCCATTCATCCAGGTCATGGTATTTCTGTAAAAAATAAATCAAGACAACTGGACTTGCTGTATTTTTCTTGAAGATGTTACGTTGCTCATCTGACTAGCTTTCTTAAATCAGAATGACAAATTCAGAAGGCTAGTTGGATGACCAGTGAAACGTCTTCAAGAAGAATATAGCAAGTCCAGTTGCCTTGATTTATTTTTTATAAATTTAGTTGAATAATGGAAACTGTTTTTCCTGTGTCACGTACCATAAGTGGAGCCTGAGATGACGAGGGTAGCCTCTCTTGCTGCTCCAGTCCAAACACCCCCGCATAGTGGGAACAGGTGCGTGAGGACAAGGAGGGGCACAAGTGCCGGTAGGTTGCGACTCCTGTCAGAGCTGCGTGCAGGTTCCAGGGATCTCTTAGCAGGATGCAATTGTAGTGCAGGATCCTGGAAGCAGAGTAGAGACAAGCCGGGTCAGCAATAATCTGGCAGCGAGGTACAAAATCAGAAGACAGGCTGTAATCAGAGACAGGCCGGGTGAGTAACTTGCAGCCAGCGAGGTACCAAGGAGCAGACAGGAGAGAGGTCAAGGAACAAGCCAAGGTCAGGGAGCACAGAGCAGGAGCAGAGGTCAAACAAGCCGGGTCGTTAACAGATGATCAAACAGGTCTACAGGTCTCAGGAACAGGGGTACAGGTGAAGCTCAGTCAGCAGGGAGGTCAAGGTGTCTCAGCCTTAAATAGCCCTGTTGGCGCCATCATTAGGAACGGCACGTCAGCGCGCACGCCATGGAGTGCGCACGCACGCCCACGCAGAGGCACATGGACGTGCACATTTCTCTGTGTAGGACCATGCGCATGCGCAGGTGCCTGTCCAGCAGCCCGGCCACACAGGCTAACTCTGGCTTCATGACACCCTGCCACAAAATTCAAAACTCTGTTTAGTATTCTGATCCACATGCCTTTTCCAGGAAACACAGGCAGATTATGACCCTCCAGTGCAGAATAGGACACACCCCCAGCCCGATGATTGGATAATGAAGGAGCAGCAGCACACTCATAAGACATTGTCTGTCTGTTCTCGCCTTCATTTAGCATGTCATTATCTTTCTTCCAGTCTTACTGCTGCTATATATTCTTGGCTGATGCCAAGAATGGTGTTCCTTGATGTTAGGTATTACAGATAGGCAATCATTAACAAATCATTAAACCATTAAATGTATTTAAATTCAACAAGCATCAGTACCTACATATAATCTGGTATCAGCCTGTTGCACTTACAGCAGCGCTCAAACTGGGAGAGATACGGGCAGGGTCAAAAGCCAATTAGGTGTGCTGCAAATCTGCTGGCAATGAACATGCTGATAAGAGAGTCCAGAGTGAGCAGAAGGATGCCCTGATCAGTCTGCTGCTGCTCTTTTGCCAATAAGCATTAACGTAGTTCCATTTTAAAATACAGGTAATATTTTTTAATGAATATATACTGTACCGCATTATATTTTTTAAAACATTGCTTGTTGTGACTAAATTGCAAACCAAGTTTTCTCATTATTCAGAGGGATTCATCACAAATTTGTCCAAGCCCTGATTAGTTGCCAGGTGACCTGTATTTTGAACGACAGCCCGATATGTTCTTATGTGTAAAACGCAGTGCAAGGGTAATTTTTTGTAATTCCCGGAGTTCAGCTTTAAGTTTATACTAGCAGAATCTGCTAAGAGTGTATTAAAAGTAAGGACGGAGGTCATATCTGTAGATCTGGGAAAGCTGTCATTGTGCTCACATTTTCTTTTTTCTCTCTCTAGGATAGGTGAAGCAGGGATGTACGGAGGGTTTATGGTTCAACAAATCATTGTCACAGGTCGGCTTAGAACTATGAGGTGAGTGGAAATCACTCATCTCATAGTTCTCCTTTAAGCCGAGAATAAAAATGTAGATTTCTGCAAAGCAGCAAACAGTTTAAAATGCCTAAAGTATCCAGTCTTGGCTGTTTTATATCTTTTTTACTAGTTTATTTTACTTTTTCCATTTTGAATAGAGTAGTGAATGGATAAATAATAATGTTAAACAACATTTTTTTTAAATAATGTTGTCCTGTTAATGAGATCAGCCTTCACTTTCTGACCTGTAGGCACAACAGGAAATGAGAGCAATCTTTCCAAAGTGAGAAATATCTCCTTTTAGATAGTTGTCACCAGAACAAGCATACCTATTGGATGGTTTCCTGCTTTCATTGTTCTGGTGGCAACTCAAAATTTTAATTTTTCCAGTTGCCAAGACTAATAGTGAGAGTAAATCTACCTAGCAGGACACTCAGACAGCAGTGAAAGCCTAGCGTGGTTTCTAATGCTTCCACTTTGCTATCCAAAACTAAAAAAAAAGTTTGACTTTAGATACACTTTAATTTACTTTAGAATGACACTGCTTTGCTGGAGGTTTATGGACACCTGTCCACCTGTATGCCACCTCTATGGGCTTGTTGGATGTCTTATTTCAAAACCTTGGACATTGTTATGGAGTTGGCTTCCCTTCTGCAACTATAACAGCTTCCACTCCTCTAGGAAGAGTTTGCACAAGATTTTGGCTGAATGTGTGCCCATTCAGCCAAAAGCAGGTACTGGTGTTGGATGAGAAGGCCTGGCGCACAGTTGGTGTTACAGTTTGTCCCTAAGGTGTTCCGTAGTGTTGAGGTCAGTGTTCTGTGCATGCCACTCAAGTTCTTCAACACCAAACTTGTCAGACCATATCTTTATGGACCTGGCTTTGTAAAAACGGGGAGGTGCACAATTGTGTAAAATGTCTTTGTATGCTGTAGTATTAACAGTTAACTTGACTGAAAACAGCTGAACTCTATAATTTGGAGTGGTGTGCACTTATTTAGGCCATAACGTGTTATTAACTTTTCAAGTCACTAAAAGGAGCACAGAGCAAATATATACAGTAGGTATTGAGAAAAATGATTCTACTTCTGCACCTGAAGGATTTCATTTAGGAATTTAGACGAGATCATTATGATGGCAGCAATACATAGAGAGCATTTAGAAGCCAAGTTGGAAACAGAAGTCCTTTTTTATCCTAAAATGATACTGATCTGCCGCGGCAAAGTGGCAGCTACAGACTGACCTGTGGAAACTGTCCTACCTATAACACACTGTTGGTCAGTATTTCTGTCGCTCACTTTTCTGCAGTAGACTAGTGGTCTGAAGCATTTGCTGTATGATATCCACACACCATTTGAATTGAACAGCGATAGTCTTAATGGTTGGGCATACTGACTAAAGTGACTGATACTAGTTTTTTCTATTGCTGTGGCGTATTCATTCCAAACATGCATGGTAAAGGTATTCTCTGCTTTCAGGTGTCCAGGAGCTTCACACCGGAGACAAGTGTTAGATCAGAGAAGGGCAAACAAGCTGCAAATAGACATTGAAGCAGAAAATATGCCAGCTGTGATTGATCATCCAACAACCGTGTCTCCAGATGTGGACAAGGCTGGAACCGCACTACTGGAGAGGAACTCAACTCCAACTGTGCTTCCTGTATGGTCAGATGAACAAGGGTTTGATAATCCTGCCTTCGAGGAAAGCACCATGTCTGAGAGTATGTATAGCAACACCCTCTTATCTTTAGCTGAGGGGAAAAAACACAAGACTTAAACACTTCCTTTATACAGTTGTGAGGCAGGAAGCTGAAGTATGCCATTTCTTGTCACCTAAATTTAAAATTGTGCAAAGACCTACACCATATAACCAAAATTTTGTTGACACCTGACAATCACACCTATATGAATTTGTCGGACATCTAATTTCAAAACTATGGACATTGATAAGGAATTGGTCCCCCTGTTGTGACTTTAACAGCCTCCACTCTTCGGGGATGCTTTCCATAATGTTTTGGAGTGTGTCTGTGGGAATGTTTGCCCATTCAACCAAAAAAGCATATGTGAAGTCAGGTACTGATATTGGTTGAGAAGACCTGGCTTGCAGTCTTTTTTTATCAAATGCACACACCTGTACTCAATAGAAGTGCCCACATACCTTTGGAAACTATGGTGAAGTGTAATAGTCAGGCGTCCACAATTTTTTAAACATATAATGTACCTAGGTGACCCAACCTGTTTCAATGGGTTGTGTTCAGAAACACTCTTGCATTCTGTTCAAATCAAGACCTCCCAAGCTGCTTCTGTGGCTTATAGATCCCCACACCCAGGTGACCAAAGCTCCTCAAAAACAATGCCTAACCTTTTTGAGTAATTTCTTTGAAAGCTACAAAGAATATAATAAAATATGTAAAAAGGAAATAAAGCTTGCAAAGATTCAAAACGAGCGACAGGTTGCAAAAGATTGCAAGATTAACCCCCAAAAAATCTTTAAATATATTAATACTAAAAAAAATCAAGTTGGAGCATGTTGGCCCCTTAAAAGAGAACTCAGAGTTGGTAACTGCGGACAATGAAAAGGCAAATCTATTAAATACTTTCTTCAGCTCTGTGCACACCAAGGAACATGATATAACTCAAGTCCATAATGGGTTTTGATACGGTACCACACAAGCGCTAACTTCACAAGCTGAGGGCTATGGGCATAGATGAGGTGGTGTGTACGTGGATAGAGAACTGGGTACGGGAACGTGTCCAGAGAGTATCTGTAAATGGCACCTTTTCAGTCTGGGCTAGTGTAGTGAGCGCTGTGCCTTAAGGATCTGTGCTGGGTCCGATACTGTTCAACCTATTCATTAATGACATCGGGGAGGGAATAAATAGCCATGTTTCCGTGTTTGCAGACGATACAAAAATAGGGAGGGTACTAGAAACGGATCGTGACAATATAACATTGCAGGAGGACCTGGATAAAATAGGGGAGTGGGCAATACTATGGCAGATGAGGTTTAATGTCGATAAATGCAAAGTAATGCACTTTGGACATAAAAATAAACAAATAGGCTATACAATCATGGGTATGCCGCTAGGGAAGTCAGAAATAGAAAAAGATTTGGGGGTTATTGTAGACCACAAACTGAATGGTATGGCACTGCTTGCAGTGCCAAGCTGCGGTAGTTGGTGTCCTCCAAGGTTCAGTGTTGGGTCCCTTACTGTTTAACCTATTTATAAATGACATAGAATTGGGGATTAAAAGTACTATTTCTGTGTTTGCAGATGACACCAAGTTATGTAGTGGAATACAGTCCTTACAGGATGTCTCCAACCTACAATCAGATCTGAATGCACTGTGTGATTGGGCATCTATTTGGCAAATGAGGTTTAATGTTGATAAATGTAAAGTTCTGCACTTGGGGACTGGAAACATGCATGCGTTCTATACTCTAGGGGGAGTATGTTTGGGGGAGTCGGTGATGGAGAAGATCTGGGTGTTCTGGTAGATCATAGACTCAATAATAGCATGCAATGTCAAGCTGCAGTTTCTAAAGCAAGCAAAATACTTTCTTGTATTAAGAGGGGTCTAGACTCCAGAGATAGAGACATAATCCTGCCCCTGTACAAAGCATTAGTAAGACCTCATCTGGAATATGCAGTTCAGTTTTGGGCACCAGTTCACAAAAAGGATGTTGTGGAATTGGAGAAAGTGCAGCGAAAGGCGACCAAACTCATAAGCGGCATGGAGGAGCTCAATTATGAGGAAAGATTACCTGACCTGAATTTGTTCTCTCTGGAGAAGAGGCGACTAAGGGGGGACATGATCACCATGTATAATTACATAAATGGTCAATATAAAGAGCTTGTTGCCAAATTATTCACGTTAAGGTCACTGCAAAGGACAAGGGGGCACTCTTTGCATCTGGAGGAAAATAAGTTTAACCTTTGCATACAGAAAGGATTCTTCACAGTTAGAATGTGAAAATGTGGAATAGACTCCCCCAGGAGCTTGTTCTAGCTAGCTCGGTTAATTGTTTTAAAAAACATCTGTATGTATTCCTAAATGCACAGAATATTACTGGATATTGAGTTCTTAGAGGTATATTAAGCATCAGAGATTTTTGATCCAGAGAATATCTGATTGCCTTATGGGATCAGGAAGGATTTTTTTCCCCTGTTGGAGCAAATTGAACCATGGTTTTATAGGGTTTTTTTTTGCCTTCCTCTGGATCAACAGGGTGTAATTGTGGGCATAGTTTTCTGTTTATCCTTTTCTTCTTTTTTTTTTTTTTTCTTTGTATCTCTATAGGTTGGACTTGATGGACTTGTGTCTTTTTTCAACCTGACTAACTATGTAACTTTGTTGGAAATGGAAAGCATTATGCCTAAATTACTTACTGCTGTCATAATTCTAAGATATATATCCATCGTGTAAACACTTTTCTAGGGGCCCGACCACCATAAATATATCTTCTCCTCTGTAAAAAGGACTTTTGATTAGGTAGAAAAAGTCTAAAAGGAAATGTATTTTTTAATATATTTTTAGACACATAAAAGAGGTTTGCTTGATGTAAATAATTTTATAGTATGTTAACATTTTAAATACTTTTTTTAGGTATGCACCGATATATATCGGCGCCGAAACATATCGGCCCGAAAATGGCACTCTTGTCATAATGCCGAAAGAGCCATGTTTCGGCCGAGACAGCGGCGCATCCCTGGTTTCTTTTCTCCCCGCTGGGTGCTGTTCCAGCGGGGAGAAAAGAAAGTGACAGCCGGCCGAGCGCTGCAGGACGAGAGCGCTGTGAGCGGCTGGTGTCTCTCCTCCCACACCGCTCTGCCGCCTATCACAATCCGGCAGAGCGGTGTGGGGGCGGAGAAAGCGATGTCAGGAGGCTGGGCTAAAAAATAAAAAACATTTTCGGTATCAGTTTCGGCCTAACATTTTTTTTTTTTCGGTTTCGTTTCGGTTTTAAAATTTCCATTTTGGTGCACCTCTACTTTGTTTCTTTGTATAATTTGTAATTATATACAGTGGGGGGAATTTATCATAACAATTGCGAGTGTTTTAACTTGCACGGAATATATTTGACGCACTTTGCACTAGATTTATGATGCTAGTGTAATGTTGTATATACATGAGGTTTAATAGACTCCAGGGATGAAGACTCGTAACTCCAGACAAAAGCTTAACTGTCGCTTCTTGGAGAAGTGGTCATGGGGACTTAAGTAGCGATTGTTTTGTTAGGTGATGCTCCAGTTTCAGACAGTCCAGAACAGGTGCAAAACACATGCAATTGGGAAAGTAGTGCAAGCTCTGGTCAAAACAGGGGCACATGTTAAAAGACAGATTTGCACATAAAAAAACGATCTATGAGGCTAAAACTGTCACAATTGCTTTGATAAATTTCCCCCATTATGTACATGTAGGCAGCCATATTACCTACTCGGGCTCTGCTTCCTTCTTTGCAGTGCTACACAATAGGTCTGCTTAACTGCTCCTCTTACAATGGAAGTTTATAAATTGGCTGATTCTTTGATAGCAATGCCCCCCACATGTTGCTGATATCTTGAAGTTTCTATATATAATACAAGAACAAAAACATTGATACGTCCATACAACCGTGCCAAAATGTGAAAGTCACACAAATTACTTTAAGGTACATTGCACTAATAACTCAGAATATGCATTTACAGAAAATACATGTAGTTATTGAAAACTCACTATGCTTTCCTTTTAAACTACTTTAGTCTAAAATTGTTATGATAAAGTGATGCTAAGCTCAGGAGGTAAACCTTAAAAATGTATTCAAGTAACCTAACTACCGTATTAACAAAAATATTTATTTGTGTATCACTCAACTTGTAGATCCTCAAATCTCTGAATTGGTGCTGATACTGTCCTTCCTTCTGGAGGGGGGCTACTTTTGTTCCCCATGGTCACTGTGTGTGTTGTAAAGTAGCCACCACTCCAAGCTCACTCCTGCGATGGACTACAATCTCAATACAAATGAGTAAACTAAATGTGAGATTGTAGTCCATCACAGCAATGAGCTTGGAGCAGTGACTACTCTACAACACACAGAGGGATCACGGGGAACAAAAGTAGCCCCCCTCCAGAAGGAAGGACAGTGTCGGCATGAATTCAGAGGTGATTTGAGGATCTACAGCTAAATAATATACAAATAAGATACATTTTTGTTAATAGTTAGGGTAATTGAATGTATTTTTAAGATTTAGCGCCTTAGTTTTGTGTAATTTAAGCAGCAATTGTAAATGTTTCTGTTCAGGCCATTCATTGGTATACTGGGCATGGGGAATGTATGTGGTTGAACAATTCACTTTATTGTTTATTTTAGCTAAGGGTACTGTAGCTAATTTTGTTTTCCTTTTACCATCGAATAAATCTGTGCCTTAGTGGTATTTCCATTCTGTTATGTACATTCTTGTATCCATTGTTTGCTTCCTAGATGGGAAAGCAGCTGCAGTTGTAATTATTGTTCCCTTGTCTTTCAGTGTGTACACAAAGCAGTTTAGATCTCAAGGTCAGGTGCTGGAGCCATTTCCTTTCCTGTTTACACTGCAGTGTTATATTTTTAGGAATACACAATGTTTAAAACTACAAAAGCAATTATAACTAATCTCCTTAGTCATATTAGTCTAAAAGAAAATAATTCCTCTAGTGTATGCTATTACATGCAACGCCAAAATAAACAAAACATTTAAT